AAGATAAGATAAGATGAGATGAGATGTGATGACATTGGATTGAATTTTCTGGGCTTTGTAGATTTTAGCTATGAAATGATATATTCATATAAGATCTGATCATATTTAATGGGTTTAGAATAATTTGAAGTTATTAAATTTGGTGCAATGGGATGCGTCCTTTCCATAAGCCATTTTCAACGAGATTAATATTTTGTCAGCTTAAATCCTCTAGTGAATGTGTTCAAACCTAGTTTCTCTACACTTTCATGTTTCAATCCCGTTGGGGAATCTTGTGGGTCCTGTGTTTTATCGGTACTGCGGTGCAGACTGTATTAGAAAAATATTACTCTCAGACAATGAGTGATCCGATTTCTTAATTAAGATTTATCATTTTATTTGCACATAAATAATTATGTAATTTGCGCATTTATTGTCATATATTTATATGGCATCAAGTGTATTTATTTGTTTATTTACATATTTTTTTAGCTTAATTCAATTTTGAGTGAAAGTGTTTGATGAATCTATTCGTAAATGGATCCCACTCAAATACGATGGCGGATCCCTCTTGACTAGCTGTCGATTATCTTTACCCCAATCAAATGAGATTGCTTCGGTAACATCGTCAACAAGAATGTTCCAGTATAGCCAATCAAACGCTGATCTAGAGGAATCCGCCGCCATCTTTTAGTGGGATCGACCTTCGAATCTCTTCATTAAGCACTTTCACTCAACAAACAAAAGGGCCCTCAAAACCCAACTTTTATTTGCTTGAACTATTTGCATATTACCTAACTTAGGCTCCAGATAGTTTTTAGCCTGGATGAAAAACGAAGTTCCCTTGAGTGTAAGGACATGACAATTCAAAGGACAGGCTTCCTTCAACTCGCATAGGAGGCATATTTTAGAGTATTGGGATTGGACAATTCCCCACAAACCATCAACCCTGAACATCATTTATTTCTGGGTTTGCTGTCGCTTAGTTAAGTCTGTCAGGCATCTGATTAATAGGAAATCAATGTCTGTTCGCAGTCCCTTTTCGATGGCCAAGTCTTGCTTCATCAAATCTTCTCAACTTTGCAACGTTCCCTTTACTGTGTCCTCTGCAATTCTTGTCTTATTTTCTTTTATCATCGGACACATTTTCAGATGTTTTGCCGGCATCATACCCATCACTGTCATTTTTTAGCTCCAATCTTTGCACCAAATTTCAGAGCGTAATTTATAAGCGAAACCACTTGCCAAATTGTGTGTTGAAATTTTTTTGCACTTCTTCTTGCCCCTTGACATGACACATATCCCATCTCTTAACCCTCCATCATCAACTATTATTTCTACTTTAGACGGTAAAGCCTCATCCCCACTACAAGTTGTACCCAAGTTAGTAACACTAGACCTTAGCTGTGCATCTCTCATATTGGGTATACGGGAGAGTAGTTAGGGGTAATGTTAACTAGACCGACATATTCAAGAGAAGTGTGGGAGTGAGTTCTTCTTTGAAGCTGATTCTATTCGTTAACCTGGGACGAAAGCAAATGCAATATTAGAATTCGCTGCTTTGCTTCTATATAGCATTCTACTATTTATGAGAATAGGGTTTCGAGACTACCAGTAATTCAGTGTGATAAGATGTATTCACCCTATTTCGTGTAAGGCGATTAGGGACTGGTAGTAGAATTTTCCCACAATGATATGAG